TTCAGTAGGCGCGCAATGGTTTTTAGTCATGTAACTCTATTGTAGATAAAACATGTAAAGTACTGAAAAAAAATTCATAAAAAACGTTTTAATAACAAGCTTTTATGTAATGATGCACTAAAAAGTAGAAAATAAATTATAGACTACTATTTAAATAACTATAAAGAAAAGCGTGGGTGTCTTCCTTAACATTAGTAAAGGTATCCAATAGATACTAAAGTGACCCACGCTTTTCTTTATAGTTATTTAAATAGTAGTCTATAATTTATTTTCTACTTTTTAGTGCATCATTACATAAAAGCTTGTTATTAAAACGTTTTTTATGAATTTTTTTTTAAATAACTAAATGGCAATATTAAGAGTTATATAGCATTAACGAATGTTCTTTTTTAATGTAAACAAACTATGATTTAAAAAAAAAAAGACTCAATAAAGACGTGGGTTGGTTTTTTTTACATATTTTAAATACATACGAATAACCTGAGCTTTTTTCTGGCAACTGATTCTGGGGAGGCTGAAGAGTAGGGATTAATATAACCTTCCACCCCCCTCCCCCCCCCCCACCCCCGAGAAATTTAAATCTCGCACTACCCCCTACCCCTTTCCACAACTGAAATGTATTTAAATCGTGTCTAGGCTATATCCCGAATTACAATCCCTTGTAGTGTTACATAAATTAATTCGTGAAAGTTTAAGTGAGATCACTCACGGTTTTTTGCATTGCTTTAATATATCTGTAGTTGAGTCCCTTCATTGGCCGGCCCACTAAAATGAATGTTACTATTTTCCTTTCCCTGTCTTTGTTATTGATTTATAGAATTAAAAAAAAAAACAACAACTTTATAACGGACCGCAACAGGTGACACCATTTAGGGGGTGACACCAAGGGAAACAGCAATTTATACGTATAGAAAAAACGATAATTCCATTGAAATTAAATAAATGATTAATTATAGTTGAAACGTCATTTTAATTAAGAGCAAAATTGACAAATCCCAACAAGGAGGCGGGGGAGGTGGGTGACACAATCACGCGAACCTGCTAACGATATAGAAAACTAGACTACATCCAGCTGTATTTATAGCCCACTATAGATGAGCATGGTTAGTATTATCTGTGTACAGTTAAAAGCTATCATCGGGTGGAGGGGAGGGAGAGGGTGTGAAAACATCGCCGCACCGGGTGACACCCGACCTAGCGACGCCACTGCATTACCTGCTGCTTTTATGGTGTTCTAGCCATGTTGAACTGGTGTAAGGCTTGTACCTGGTTCTGCTCCACTGAACTCGAATGTTAGCTCTTGGATAATGTTTTTTTTTTGGTCACGTCGACATGCGTCCAACCATGACAAGATCACTTTACTTGTCCCACGATTGTTTCCCTTAAAGAGCTGTACGCAATCAACCCTACTTGTGATCGGTGTTGCTTTCAGATATTTTCTGGCACTTTTATTGAATTATTCCGGTGGGGGTGGGGGGGAGGGGGGAAATAAATTCTTGACAGTGAGGTGGGGGGAAGTAGGCGGGCACTTGTTAAGTTATATATTTATTTTCGTTATCAATTAAATTACGTTTGTATTTCGTTGGTGGAGGGGAAGCGGGAGGTGAACTTTTTTTGTAGGGCGAAGGGAAAATCTCAAGTTGCGTATAAAGTGTATTGAAGAAATGTTCTTTTATCTGTAACATATAACGTCTCGGTTGTAAGGTGTAATGAAGCGGGATTGTTTAAAATCGATATTCTTCTTTTAAATTTTCAAATCTTTCGTTAGTTCAACCACCGTTACTAATCTGGTTTGACAATTGACTATCATGACGGAATTAATATGAGATGCTTGTGATATTTGAAGAAACAAGTATTTTACAACATGTGTAAGAATAAACCGGGAGTGATCTCCCCTAAACTTTCTCGAATATTCTTATATAAAATAACATGGGATGGAAGCTCGGGCTATAGACATGATTTTTAATCCATTTTAAATACTTAAAGTTTTAAAAATAGAATAAAATCTCGTAGACAAATTAATTGCACACCAAGTGAACGCGAAATAAAAAAGCGCATAATAGTGCGCAATATTATTAGTACTTTTAAAATTTACATGCGTTTTTTGAGAAATCGGAAATAGCGTAAATAAGTACTTCCGGTCAACAGAAATTACTCAAAATTTGACAGAAGGTAGAGAATAAGCTCTTTTACTTACATATCAAATTTCATTTATCTATCTGAAATAGTACTCAAGTTATAGGCTTTTGAAAAATTCAAAGTAGAAAAAGTACCACTTCCGGTTATTGGAATTCGCTCAAAACTTGATACGGATCTACGATTTTGATAAAATACTTATATATGAAATTTCATCAACCTAGCTGTAACGGTACTCAAGTTATCGTGTTTACACACGGACACACAGACAGACACACACACACACACACACACACACAGACATACGGACAAGATTGCAAAATTATGTTTTTCCGTATCAGTGAGGTGTAAAACGTCGAGATTTGTAAAAATCTCGATTTTTTTTTTGCACGATTACAATACTTTCTCTATACTACGTATATACGAGAAAGTAAAAAAACATGTTAGCAAATAGTACAGTTTAATAAGCTAAAGATTGAAAATTAAATTTATTAGTGTATATGTTTATTTTTTTTATTCATATTCGACATAACGCAATAACGTAATGATGATATGTAGAACATCAACTATAAATATCAATAATAGTGATGCAAATGCATAAAACAAGTCTGCAATGTGAACTTTGTTTATGAATAGTGAACGTGCATGTTAAATTGTCATTTAAATATCTTAAATAACATTCTCTTTTGTACAAAAACATGGAGTCATTTACAACCCTCATGTTTGTGGTTGTATTAAAGGCAAAGAGGGTTCTACATTTTCATTCTGTTCTGCACTATTTAACTTCTCCTCAGAGCCTACATGCTGTCATTTCCCACCTACATAAAATAATCTCTTGTTTAGACCGCAGTCAACATCCTATGAACGGTCTAGATGTCGGGTCGAGTTACATGCATCGTAAATCTTTCTGTAAGAGTTCTGTCATGTGGAATTTTTTTCTTCTATGATAAGGCATTCATCCTACATCTAAGGTCTGTATGAATGTCTAAAAATATAAATATTATCTCTGCATGTGTTTCTTTTTAACATACTTTATTAGCATAAACTATAGAAAGACGTAGATTATATTAAATCATCCAGCCATAAATTTATGTTCCAATGAATAGAGGCTTGTATCGGTGTTTTTAGATTCATGGGTACTCGAGGTGAAAAATTTTTCAAATGCACTTGTGTTTTACATGTAAGATTGAGATTGGCATGTGTATAGTATGCCTGGGTGTGTTGGAGTGAAGTGGATCGTATCATAATAAATAACGCTATATCATGATTGTATGCATTATTGTGTAATCTTGAAAGACGGGGTGGTGTTTGGACGTAAACTCAATTAACAAGACTTAAAACATTTTTCACTTTGTGATAGACGGAAAAAAGGGTTTCATTCATTTTTAAAATGTTTATCAGTTCTTTTACATAGCGCGATTGACAAGAAAAATTCCAAATAGTTGTTGTTACACGAAAAACGTTTGACTACTTATGGTCATTAGAATCACCATTTATAGCTCATCGGTCATGCAGACTAGACCAGGGTTAATAATAAGCATTTCTTTCTGTTTCCAGCCACTAGATGCCGAGGTTTCCGCCAGGCTGTTTTAACTTCCTGTCACCAATCCATCACACCACAAAGTTTGGACACGAGGACAATTTGGGCAGTTGACCTAGAACATCGAGTCCAGGACCTGAACTCGTGACTTTGGGTGAACGAGCGCGGTCTACAGGTCTACCGCTAGACCACGTCGTCCCTTAATTTACTTACACCTAAACTCTCAACCCAAAAATGAAACACAAATACTTACATACAGTGGCGTAGCGGGGGGGGGGGGGGGGGGGTGCGGACCGCACCGGGTGACACCATTTAGGGGGTGATACCAATGCAAAGGAGGGGTGCGGACCGCACCGGGTGACACCATTTAGGGGGTGATACCAATGCAAAAAATAGCAAAATATATAGAGAAAAATGATAATTCCACTTAATTAAGTGAACCGTTCGAGTGTTAAAAAGTCTTTTAAGAGCATATTTGACAAATCCCGACAAGAGTGGAAAGGGGGGGGGGGGAGTGTGATTCGAAAGTTTGAGGGTGGGTGTGAATCAAACGTTTGAAGGGGGGGGGGGGTGCAAATCGAAAATTGAAAGTTTGTCCCCGGGAAGGGTCGCTACGCCTCTGGGGCGTGACTTCATTAAGTGCCGCACCGGGTGTCACCCGACCTCGCTATTATGTATATATAATTTAACAAATAACCAGTCTTTCTTTCATGCATCTCCTCGACGTGGGCACCGCCACCCCTACTCCCTCCAGAAAGACGTCAACAACCCATATTCCCCTCCTCGGACTAAATACAATATATATATAAAATATATGCTGTTACCGGTGTCCGCCTGCCCCTGAAATTTAGAAATTTAGCCCCCCCCCCCCCTCCCTGAAAAAAAAATGCAAGTCCCCCTCCTCCATAGAAAAACACAATTAAGACGTCTCAAAGCCTTAAAATTAGAATTGTGCTATCCTAGTTACTGCGATTCTGGTTCATCTTCTACTACCTACCTTTAAAACAAACGTATTTTTTAAAATCTTAGCTTTAGTGTTTTCTATATCAACATCGTCAGATAAAAAATGACACGGTTTTAAAATTATATACGAACACCATATTAAAACATAACTGAATATCTTAGAGTATCAAGTAACAGCTGTCAGACATTTCTATAGCACTGTCCGGGGTACCTAGTCAATTGAGTTTGCGACAAACTATTTTTTTTTATTTAAGGTCTAGTAAATATAATCGTTGCACGGATTTTAGAGACGTATGAATTCGTCATTATGTCGTAGATTCATATCAGGACAGCGTTAGGTATGTCTTTATGTGGGTAGAGTCGGATCTAGAGTTGTGCATGGGTTTTGCTAGGCTCTGTCGGGAATTTTAAAAGTAGGAGCTGATTTTTATAATTTCCTCATAATAACAGGTATGTTAAAACATAGTTTCTTGCTTGATTTATTTAATTTTGTTTCGTAGTTTTGTTTAAATAATGTTGGTAAAACAGATAATCATACTTAAAATATTGTAAGATACAAATAATGATAGCTTTCACATTTTGTATAACAAAGTTTGTATGTATTTCCCTTGGAGCAAAATTCGACTTACACGACAGTGGATTTCAATTATGTGATCCAAATATGTAATTGTAGTGATAAAAAGTAATACATTTCTGTTAAACAAACTTTGACAGTAGCGACGACAATATAGTTTCCTCTTCGACTGCTTTGAAACGTATGCAGCTTTCGTGCTTTGTTTAGTTAGCTAAATTGGTTGTAAATATTTGACCGTGGTGACAAATTTTATTTCGATGACATATAAATAGGGGATAAACCACTGGCAAACTTTCTACAAATTATGTTGCAATGCAGTCGACATTAAAATAAAAGTGCTTTTTCTCTAATATCGAGTATGATGTTTTATGTATCTTATAACTTACGTGTCCAGTTGTTGTTTGCAGGTTGTTGTTTTTACATAATATTATGCTTAGGTATATATTTCCGATTGATATTAGAAAACTAATATACCCTTTTATTAAATGAGTGGCTGGAGAGGCAGTGGCGTAGCTAGGGGAAGCCGGGTGGGGCGGCAGCTCCTGGGCGCCGATTCTAAGGGGTGCGCCAAAAGGGGTGAAAAAATGTAATAGCTCATTTTGATATGAAATATTGAATTATAAACAAATTAGGCACCAAAGCAAAAACTAGTGACTGGTAAAAGGCGCCACCAACCTTTTCAACTGTGGGGGGATGCGCTTTTTCACTAACATGAAAAAATATAATATAAATGACAGGGGGGCACACAATTGATAGTTTCCCCCTTGCGCTGGAATTGGTAGCTACGCTTCTGGGTAGAGGGGCGGTGAAAGAAAAAAGAAAAGGTCAGACACGCAGAGAGATTGTCAGAGAGGACGCTGAAAAGTAAAAAAAAAAGAAAGAACAATTCAATATATACAGGCATGCATGATGCATCCAGTATACATAATAAGAAAAATAAAGATAAAGGAAAAAAAACAAGCAGAAATGAGAATAAGGCAGATATACAATAAAAAAGTAGTAGAGAAAAGAAATAAAAAATGGAACAGAGACATGAAGAGAAAATTGAGAGAACAACTAAACAAAACATGAGAGAAAAGAAGAGCGAAAAGAGGACGAAGAGGCGACAATGAAAGGGAGAGAAACAAAGAATGGAAAAGGGAGAGAAACAGAAGAGACATAAAGAGAGAAAAATTGAAACAGAAAGAGATTCACAACTGGGGGGGAAGAGAAAGTGAAAGCAATACGAAAGACATTATAGATTAGAGAAATAGAAAAACAGAGATAAATGGTAAAGGAACCCTGTGGTAACACACGAATAGATGAAGTAGAAAAACGAAAAAGATGGAAGAGGGAGAGGTAACCGAAGACACATAAATAGAGACAAACGTTTACAGAAAGCTAGAGTTAAAGAGAAAGTAATTGAAAGAAACAGGAGAGGGAAATGCAGAGAGGAAGTCAGTAAGGGATATAAGAGTAAAATAAAGAGAAAGTTGAAAAGGGAAATATGAAGAATATGAGAGTTAAATTAAGATTATGAGTTGTGAGAAATAGTACATGAAATGGAGAAAAAAAAAGAAAAGAGATGAAAAAAAAGCCTAAAGCTAATAAAAGTAGACGGAAAATAGTAAGAAATTTATAGTAGAGATGCATCAGTAAAGATGCATTAGCATGTTATTTCAAGTAATTTTGGTGCTAGTACGCCTCTAGTTAGACATGTATCAAGCTGCTGATTGCTAGCCATAGCTACATATCTGCAATAATAGTTTCTCTGCTTAGAACACCCTTGCTACATGTGTAACCTTTGTATAACATTGGTTCGCTTGACTGGCTATGTAGAACGCTAGAAATAGGCCCTGTTGCGTAAAGAAAAGTGCACAATACCTACCCACCTCACTTCAAAATAATAATTATGGAATGCATTGACTCGGGGAGGAAATGAACACTTCATTCAAACTACTCTTTTGAGCTTTTGAATTATGGCATGTTTTTTTTAAAATTATTATTATTCCATTCCTCTATCAATGCCATTGCGCAAAACGGAAGCTATCATAATTTATTTCATGAAGAACAAACTTGGAAAGCAGTTTTCTGTCGGAGTTCTAATGCTACAAAAGCAATAACCAGATTCTTCTATTCTAATCCGGATTTACGCGCGGATGGTTTTTTAAACGTTTTTCTGGATTTATTAGAGTTTCTGGTTAAGTGAATTGTTATCTAATATAATTCAATTCTCAAAATTAATTGTTAGATATTTCTAAATATATATATTTTTTTAAAGTTTTAGTCTTTAACACGCAACTTCGGGAATTAAATTTATCAAAGCTTCTTTTCAACTTTATTTGACACTACACGGAATAAGCTATGATTCGCTACTATTGTATCATTTCGAAAACATCTGTTAGCAGTATACCTATAACAACATTAAATAGCAGCGTTAATAAGAGGCACAAATTAAAAAACTCTATTTTTAAGAGAGTATTCGATGCGCACTTATATTTATTGAACTTTTTTGGGTAATTTTTTTTTATGATCGTACTATTTTTAGTTTTGTAATTATTTCTCATGTTTACTTTCTCGTGTATGGAGTATACGAATCATTTTAAAATATGGACTTCAGAATATTGATAAATCTCGTTTTTTTTACACCACTATCCTTAGGAAAAAACTTAGATTTACAATTTTATATATATGCCTGTCAGTTTAACTGTCTGTTTGTGTGTTTGTGACTTTAAGTGACCACGATAACTTTATTACCGTTTCAGTTATGTTGACGAAATGTAAAATAGATGTGTTATATAAAACTTGTAGCGTTTAAAATAGAAGTATTAAATCAAATTTTTAGTGTTTTTTTTTAACTTTTGAGCAATTTCTGCTAACCTTAGTGGTTTTTACTCTACTTCTGATTACTCAAAATCTGATATCTTGAGAACCGTTTAAGCTAGGAGGACGAACTTTCATATAAAAGCACTAAGTTGTCGTTGTACGCACAGGATGAAATTTTTCCGGTAAACGGAAGTGGTACTTTACTCTATTTCCTTGGAAACAAGATAATTTGAGTACTATGTTCGATAGGTAGGCGTAATTTCGAATATTAGTAAACACCTTATACTTAGACTACTTTCAATTTTTGAGTGACCTCCGATATCCGGAAGTAGTAGGTCTACTTTACTTTAGTTCTGTGTTCTAAAATAACGATAACTTGAGTGCCATTTCACATACAAAGACGAAATTTTATACATAGGCGTACGATTTTATTTACTAGTTTAAATCAAATTTTAAGCGATTTCCTGTTAACGAAGCACTATATTACGCTATTTTCAATTTATCAAAAATGTTCATTTCATACTATATATATTAGCTTATTTCTAATTATTTTTTCCTCTATTTCTTTTCTCAAATAAACGATCGGTTTTGAAAGAGAAACTTTTATATCTATGCAGCCTTCTCATCCTTATTATTATATACAAATATGAAAAAAATCTTCAGTGGCGAAAACAGCCACGCTTTATTGTGCTCAATCCTTATTTGAATTATAAATAATTGTAAGCGCAAAAAAAATTAATGCATTGTTCTTGTCGTTTCTTTGATTCGGATATCAGTTTATGTGAAAAATATTATATTGTTATTAGAGCGACATGTGAATAGTTTAGTTTCGTCCATCACATTAAAATAATGTATTGTTTTTCTTTTCTTACAGTCTCTTTTAACGTCGATTTCCACCGACATGACGTCACAAAGTACAACATTTATCCTTGCCAGTGCACTTCTTGCATGCGTGTGTTTGAGCATGGTAAATAAAACACTTTGTTTGCGAAAAAAGAAACAAGAAGAAAATGAAAATATGAAGTTTAATTAATTCAAAAACATTAATTAAGGCTTTATTTGTTTTTATTAGCATAACTATCGTACTAGTATGTAATTAATGTACAACTTTTTATGTCTAATAACAATCTATTAGAAAATAATGTAGTTAATTTAAAAAATAGATTAATGTTATTAAACATATCCCTACTTTCTTAAATAGGACAATGTCGTTTGAACTTCCAGTGTTGCAAACCAACTTACAAATGTGTCATTAAAATAGAGTAAAATAATTGAAAATACAAGTTTAATAAAAAAAACAACTTTTAAACGAGTTAAGTAAAGTTAAATAAAGTAAACGTTTCCTTTCGAACCAAACAGTTCATTAGGAAATTAAAGTATAGCTCTCCTGTTTCAGTTCTGACCTTTTATAATGTGAGTGGGATGTCCATCGTTGCTACGTGGACTCAGCGTTTTCATATAATTTTAACTTGGTTTGTTAGAATTGATTCGTAATTATAGTTCATTAAATGGTAACGCAGAAAACCACAATTAACTTCAAGTAACATATGAATAAGGGTAAATATCCCATCTATTAACAACAGGAGAGTTAAATTTGATTTGTTTATAGAACAAATTTTGTGTTATCCATAAAGATCAAATTGATCATTATATAGTGATGTTTATCTGTAAAGAAATCTACATTGTCGCGACTTGCTGCTTAATATGCATATCAGCGGCATTGAAATATATATGAAATACAATATAAACAACATTCAATTATTCTTAATCGTTTGACCTTAATAAAAACAATATAATAGAACACCAGTCGCAAATTTTCATTCTACGTTTCCACAACTAGTAACAATAACATAATTAAACGCAACAAAATATAGTTTAAAAAAAGGAAATGCAATTTAAGAAAGTATAAAATATGCATAAAATATATTGACATAGCTAAAATTTAATTTTTTTTATTATAATGCTTGCGTTATTTAACAATATTGTCTTCCTAATGTTAAATATAAATAACTTTAAGTAAATTAACTATATGTTAATAATTTAACTTTATGGATGATGCTCAAAATTTAAAAAAAAATAAATAAAAACTAGTCTTATTTTTAATTATACTGAATATTTTTCTGTGCTAGTTTTCTGCTGGAGATCACGGTGTGAGCATTTTGCCCATAACTCACGTAGAGGCTGCACATGTTCCTGTAGACCTGGCTACGTCATCAGCAAAAGAGATCCTTCAAAATGTCTTGGAAAAATATAACATATAAAAGTAGATGTTGATGAGGATTTTGATGTGGATGTGGGCTTGGATTTACTTTTTTTTCAATTAATGTAACAAAAAATTTTTAAAATTGTCTCAATATCTTCTTTTTTTTACAACTACTTAAAAATAAAATGCATGCAATACCAATACACAATATATTATTAAAGTAAATACTATTTAATTAAAAAATATGTATTATTTAGATATTAACGAATGCAACAGCCGCTACAAATCTCCTTGTGAGCAGATATGTACCAACACTCCCGGCAGCTACTCATGTTCCTGTGAACCTGGATACACTATCTGTAAAATAAACCCCAGCCAATGTATAGGTCAGTCCACATAGTAATCAAACAAATATGTAGGCTATATCCTGGATATATCATCTGTAAAGCTAACCCTAGCAAATGTTTAGGTAAGTCCACATAGTAATCAAACAAATGTAGGCTATATCCTGGATATAGGCCTACCATCTGTAAAGCTAACCCTAGCAAATGTTTAGGTAAGTCCACATAGTAATCAAAACAAATATGTAGGCTATATCCTGGATACACCATATGTAAAGCTAACCCCAGCCATTGTATAGGAAAGTCCACATAGTAATCAAAACAAATATGTAGGCTATATCATCGAAACTATCTCTCGAGTTCTGTTCTTTAATTAATGAATAGCAAAACTTATTCATCTTACATATTATAAAGTATAAAATTGTTGTATAAAACATATATAACAAATATTTGTATAGCCTATATAAACATTTCAGAATGTATACACCCCACATGTTACAACTTATAAACGCGGCATGCTTAAAAACTTAGTAAACAAAAATTTAGTATGGTGACATAGACTTTTTATGCTTATTATAACAACGAACAATGTTTAATGTATTAATGTATTGTATATATATATATATATATTCTTGTGACAAATTTCTATTAGACATCAACGAATGTGCCAGCACTTCTGACCCTGTATGTGAACAAATCTGCAACAATAAACCTGGAGGCTTTAGCTGCTCCTGTAGAGATGGCTATAATATTAGTACGACAGACCCCACCAAATGTATTGGTCAGTTGTTTATTGTTTTTTACTTTATCATTGTATGATCACTGATGAATCTTAAATTCATATTAGACGGTACATAAAATAAAATAAATTTATATTTTATTTGCCTGTTGTTGTTTTTTGTCATTTAATTAAATATGATTTTGAAAATGAAAATTTTGTAAAAAATCACGATTTGCTCTAAATGTATGCCATATAATTGGAATATATTCTATCAATATATTTAATTAAACACGGTCCGATTATATTAAGTATTTAACAATATTCTATTTACAAATAACCCTACCACTAGCAATAGCGTATTATTTCAACGATGTTGTTCAAATATAACTGTAACTATGTCATTAGTAAGCCTATCTATATAGGCCTACATAAAAAGCAATGTATGTATGTCTGTTTGTGTGTTTGTTTGTTTGTATGTCTTTTATGCATTACTACACCTTTCATCCAATAGTCATTAAACTTTAGGAAGTTTTAAGAATACTCCTGTGAAGGTATCTGCGAAAAAAAAGATGTTTTTTTTTTAATTTCGCAAGGGCGGCGCACCGGGAGGGTGAGATTTTTCTCTATGGGTCTATAAAAAATAAAAGTCGGATGTGGTTCGCCACCATTTATTCGAGTGCCATGACATTTTTGGGAGTTAAAGACAATACTCCAGAGAAAGTGTCTGCGAAAAAAAAGTTAAAAATTTCTCATGCGCGGCGCCCGGGAGGTTGCTATTTCTGTCAATACACGGTTTTGCTCCCAGAATTATAGAAGGGCTATTTTAGCATTAGGTATAAGTTAATCAGGCGTCCCGCATAGCGGGTAATGGGTACTATTATATTTAGCGTTAAAGCTTCAACAGGCGCAGCCGGTGACGCCCCGGCTATTTTGTGACACGAAGCACCCTGGGCTTCCATATGAGCACTAAGGCGCTTAATGTTTTTTAAGAAGAATATACACTAAAGACACGAAGGGCAACAATAGTTATTATTATATCGAATCAGGCGCGTCCTCCTGCGACCCTGCAGGGTGCAATTTGGCGCCTTGGGCTTTCTCGTGAGCACAAATGCGCCTACTTATTTTTAAGGAGCACCTACAATATTGACAAGGTGGCACACGATATTCTATGATTAAACCGAGCCAGTGACGGTACTTGACGCTCCAGCGGTAAGTTAATCGGGGGTTCACGAGAGCGCTCTTCTAGGTCCACGAAATTTAGGCGTTAGTGATTAACTATGATATTACAGTGAGTGATTAACTATGATATTACAGTGAGTGATTAACTATGATATTACAGTGAGTGATTAACTATGATATTACGGTGAGTGATTAACGTGCATTTAAGGCTTTCAAAAAGCACGCTGCATGGCGCGTGACCTACTTAGGTCTTTTTGCTTTATTTATATTTAATCTCCTGAGTTATGTATTTGACCTTGGGAGAATTGTCAGTTCACTGGTACGAATCGGTCAACTGAACTTTGTCACATCAGGTGATTGTATTTTTAATCCCTGGCAGATCCTCAACCAATGATCTTGCGACCTTGAGGATTCTTGACAGATCCTCAACCAATAGTCGTAAGACTTTTGAGTTATTTCCCCTTAATCTGAGTTGTATTTAATCTCGGGTTTTTTCATGTCTAAAAGCAGCCAGATTGACCTTTGGACCAGGAGAGTTGTGCCGGTGGTTATGTGTGCCACTTTTCTGTATTGTAATTCTGAGACATGTTTATCACCTTTGTATAAGATATTGTGTGGCAAGTTGTAGTATTTCAACTATTTTGTTCTGGTGTATTATAGCACTTTTTTGATTACATCGGTGATAGTTTGACCTTTATGTGGATTTCTATTGTTGTAGAGGCAATACGTCTCTTCTTGGTTTTTTGTGGTAATTATGATGCCATTCAGTTGTGTGAAGTGTTGATCTGTATTGGTGTATAATATACTAAGCCACAGCTGTGATATATTGTGATTTTCTCAAACTGTAAGTTGGAGTTTTTGAGTTTATTTATTGTACTATTAGAGTCTGTACATTTTGAACTTACCTAGTGTCATAGCTTGTACATTTATTAAAAAGGTATTGATAGTTTAAGTCATGTTGAGTCTCTTCGATTTGTCGTGTTTTACCCCTAGACAACATTAACGAGCTCACGGCAAGTTGTGGGGATTCCATTAGAGTGACTTCTATCGGTACCATACCAAACGAACCTGGGGTGTCCGCTCCCTCCGCAGCTGTCGGAGAGCGGTCCATAACAATCAGCAATTCATAATTTGTTAATTCAACACTACCCCTTCACTCCCTCCGCTCCCCATCCCCCGCCCTCCCTGGGAGTGGGAGCGTTTTGCCTGAAGAGCGGTGCAATATAAAGATTAATTGATGCTGACAGTAAAACACTGCCATTCAAACAGTCTAATTCTTGAAGTTGACTGCGACTCTCTTTGAAAGTAACTCTCTACGTTCTTTTTGTAAATTCCGATTGGTATGCTTAACACAAAAACCAAAAAATAAAAAAAATTCATAAAAGTTTTTTTAATAACAAGCTTTTATGTACTAATGCACTAAAAAGTAGAAAATAAATTGTACACTACTATTTAAATTACTATAAAGAAAAACATGGGTCACTTTAGTACTTTAGTACCTATTGGATACCTTCACTAATATTTAAGAAGATACCCACGATTTTCTTTATAGTAATTTAAATAGTAGTGTATAATTTATTGTCTACTTTTTAGTGCATTAGTACATAAAAGCTTGTTATTAAAACGTTTTTTATGAATTTTTTTTCAGTACTTTACATGTTTTATTTAAAATAGTGTTACATGACTAAAAACCATTGCGCGCCTATTGAACGTGATGGCGCAGCTATTGAACCTGATGGCGCAGCTTGTTTCTTTCAGACTTGTTCCTCCCCGGAAGGGGGAACTTGAAATTTTCTAATCTAAAAAGTGTTTTGCGTGAATTTCCTATCATGTATCTCTACCGGTAAAAATCCGTTGTCATTTTGCGTTTCCGGTTTCATTTGAGGTAATGTTGTTGCGGTTGTTTTTTGTTGAAAGAAAAGAGACAACACTGACAACCGAGCGCCCGTTGTATCCTTCCTCAAAGGGCCATTTATCTCGTGTAGTAATAAGGATGCAGTTAGTATTAACTAGATTTGTTTTTGTCTTTAAGTAATATTTATATAACATTTAATAATATCTCTCATTTAAAGGCTGGGAACCTCGTGGCCCTTGTTAGTCCACGGGGTTTATAAAAAAAAAATGTTTCCACATGTATGCGTATGCGTATGCGTATGCGTATGCGTATGCGTATGCGTATGCGTATGCGTATGCGTATGCGTATAAAAACGTGTACCTTAAAATGTAGAAGACTACAACTAGACAGCGACATTCTTTAACACACTGTTAACTAGGTTAATACTGTCGATGAATAATTCAGCAATCTTTTGTAAAACATTTTACGAGAGAGAAATAAGTTTACTGTACAACAAAGTAAGAAATACTGCGATTTAAAGATTGATTAAAAACGGCCGAAATCCAAAAGATGAAATAGGCAAAATGCCCGCTTATACAAAAGGCCTATTTTACTAACGGTACTTATAAGTACCACTTTAATAAAGCACCTGTATTATTTTTAATTTAAGACGAATTTTAAAAATTATTGATGTAATTGATAGTATTATCTCCCTTGAGTCACAGGTAGGTGGAGGGAACGATGATTTTTGAAAATTACTGTAGTGGCGCAATTTTCAATCTCTACTTGTATCGGAAGTTCACAATTGCTCTGTACATATCTCACATGTGTTCCTGATTTCCTTTTGTTTTACCTTATTCTTCACGTTTTCAACACCGAATATTTTTTATTGGCATCTTCAATAGTCAGGCAAATGCGTTTAATTTCTAGTTATTCAATTTTTATCAAATTGTCTTTGTAA